CTGTGTGACTTCTTCCTCTTCCCAAAGATGAAAATTCAGCTAAAGGGAAGGCGATTTGAGACGATAGAAGAGATTCAGGCAGAATCGCAGATGGTGCTTGACAGGCTGGCAAAGAAAGATTTCCAGGGATGCTTCCAGGCTTGGCAGCGGCGCTGGGCTCGTTGTGTTCACTCCCAGGGGAACTACTTCGAGGGTGATGGATGAATTTAATACCTGAGATAAGTGTACGGGTTTTTATACGCGCAGTCTTGAAACTTTCCGATCGCACCTCGTATGTTAGACGTAATGGAGACATTTAAACCACTAATTAGTACACTAAATCACCTAATTGAATTCAAGTATGAACGGGAGATGACGTTATTGATTAAAGTAATTGGTCTGACGTCATTAAATTGCTGGGAACACAGTCCTCAATTATTTAGTTGGCTTCCAACCATACTGATTCGTGTGTCAGCTATGAAGACTATTACCTAAAGTTACAAAACTTAAAGATTTCTGTCTTCATACTCACCACTGTTAAAACCTCAAATCATGCATTACAAAACTTAACCTTAGATGGGATGACAATATTAAAGTGGAATTTAAAGAAAGGGTATGCGATAAAGTTGACTGGATTTACCTATCTAAAAATATGTACCAGGGCGGACTGTCGTGAACATGGTAATGATCTATGAAGTAAACTTGATGGCTAACTGTCAGCTTTTTAGGAAGGACTCTTTTCCTTGGCGTATCTTACGTTTCTTCTGTAATTACATGTTAATGTTCTACTTTCATCCATAAAATATTTACACCGCAAACTCCAATTTCATAAATACTATACTTACATGGAATATAAGTTAATATCGTAATTATTAATTGAAAAATATGTATATTACCACGAAGTTCGGGTGTCTGATGTATCGACTAGTCTTTGCAGCACTAAATGAAGCGTAGGATGCCATGTTAACAGAACGTGAACTCTTGTAACAAAACTGACCTTTAATATTCCTTTTATACGAACACCTCCACAAATTAAGGTAATTTGGGAAGAGACTTTTGCTGAAGGTAGGTCTGCGTCACTCAAACTTGAACTTTGGAACTGCGCCCATCACCTTGGCCCATTTGAATGCCTGCTTCAGTTGATCATTAAGATTATTCTTGACGTCCCACGACATATTTTAAGGCTCGTATCTCGACGTCCCACAAGTCAGTGTTTACGAAGTTTGGGCGTACGGATAACGGGCACAGCTCGACAAGTGCGTCTTGGTAGGCGTAATTTTTGAAGGTTATTCGAGAAATAAAATATGGTTAAATCGTAGTGGGTGATCGAGCAGTTCTGGACCCTGGAATTAAGGACTATAGTGGTTCAAGATAAAATAATAAAAAAAACTACTGATAATCATTTGATAATCTGGTTTATTCGGTGTAAGCTGAGATTATGAGGTTCTGGACAAGAATTCAAACGAGCTAACACCAGCAGGGTTGTTTATTTATTCTAGATTTCCATTACGATAGATTAGAGAGGACAACTTTGAGAATGTCCTACGGAATTAGGATTAATGACCTGTCTCGCTACAGATTTCTTTCCGTTACAAACCCAACTTGTACTGAACGTGGGTTGAACATTTACACAACTCTTGAACATGACCATGGGTTTCCTTGTAAGCATCCCAACGTTTATCTTGGTTTAATATGATATCAATTACCATTTGCTGCAACTCGTAAACATTTGTTCATAACTTACTGAGTATAGATATGTGGTATGTTAAAGTAAATCAGAAAATTGAAGCGAAATCAGTGACTGAAAGAGAAGATGTCTTCTGGGATTTTGTGCCGTGTAGTATGGTAGAAGTTTACCGACGTCTCATAGGCGCTTACTGCCTCCACCATCAGGGCGATAACACTATAAACATTTCAGAAGACAGCCATATACGTATTAGTAGTCATGAGAACCTGAAAGTCGCCTTTGGTGGTCTAGTGGTGGACCCAGGGTTTGCGGGTTCAAGGTCGACGGATTTTGAAGGGTAATATAAATCCGTAGCACGATTTCCTTAGGAGGGGAATTAAAGCCGGCGGTCCCATGTCGTAGATTTACGGCATGAAAAAGAACCTTACGAGCATGAACGACATGTTTCGTAAGCAAAATTCAGCGGTAATTTTTCGCCCAAGTCTCTTCTGATTCGCTACTGAGGGCTCTGGCAGACAAATCAGGAATGAGTAGGAATTGTTCTGAGGCAGCAGGATTGTCACCTGCTACTCTAAGGAATTAAAAAGACTAACAAGACAAGTTGCCTTGAGCAACTGTCCGGAACGGGCCAAAGGCCCAATCCTTGATCGGAGATGATGATGATGACCTGAAATCTCACCAGTCCCCGAAGGAATTTAACTTCTTTCACGTTAACAAAGATCAGTATCAAAATTAGTTAAATGCTGCATAGAATTTGTCTTGACATGTTATTCATACGTGAGCTTTGCGGGACGATAATATTATTCAGCCTGAGCTGACAGCTTCTGAAACACGCGGGTTTAACGATGATCCGTGGAGCGTGAATTTGAACATGTGATGACCGCGCATTGCTTTGTAGTGGCCGACGTGGAATTAAGGGCCGCGAGTTGTTATGGAATTTAACATGTCCCGGACCAATAAATTTCGCTCCAGTTAATGATGAAATAGAAATTGCAGACCTTGTCATAGTTGTGACGTAATTAACTGGCACTCTTCATGTTATACTCGTGGGATGGCTGAAAATTGTCTCGCAAAATACGTGTAGCCTGAGGACTTTGTTATTTATAAGGCAGCAAAGGAGGAGTCAGGAATCTGCCGTCTTTTAACATACGATAATTACAAGCAGCAAAAACTGGTTTCGAATAGTTGGTCCTGGAATGTGTACATAATGGACCTATGGCCAAAATTATTATCCACTTTACCACGTACTCTGAGGACTTATTTATTTCTGCAATGATAGGAGGTACAGAATTCATGAACAGGCCATACGCAGGTACTTACTACTAATTGTGTCCTATGTCCAGAATGAAGTAAATACAGCTCTGAACTTGCAAAGTTTCCTCCACAAAAGCGGTTTTCTACGGTGTCTCTAGAAGGCCTTTCGGTGGTCTTATCGCCCCCCAACCAATCAGTTTGTGTAAAGGAAGTTTCTTTTTTGATAAAATAGTGAAAGCTTGGGTTGGGTTGTAGATTCAGTTGACGATAATTCGTCTCAATTACTTTCGATATAACTGAATAATTATACTAGCAGTTGTAAAATTGTTTTTCTCTCCGTTGTTAAGGAATAAACAAACTGACTAATATATAGGAGAT